ATAGCCATTGAGGGAGGTGGTTGAAGTGTAAATACAGAGTGAAATAGTCGGTGCAGTTCTAAGACCATCCCCAAGAATCAGGCCCCCTCAAATTGTACTTAAAGTCATATATTCAATTGACAGTAGAATGGCTTGTACTTCCACACGCGACACTCAGTCTCTCCAAGGTGTGTAGGTAGGTAAGTAGGATACTCTCGTATTCCAAATAACGGAGTCATATCACGGCGGTAGTACACACTGCAAACGCTGAAGTTGACCAGTAGTAGCCGAGATAGACTGTCCACAATACAATACGACACTACCTCTCGTACGAGCCCCCCAACCCCGGCCTTAGCTTGCATTGCACCCAGCCCCTGATTTTGGGATCGGTCCTGAACCTGCATTCCTTCCCAGGTACCAACCAACGGGGTATGCTGTCCAGCCCCGACCAGATCACTCTGGCCACACAAGGCAGTTTTAACCGCGTGGGCTATCTAAACCCTCTGGCGCAACGGTGGCAGGGCCCCATCTCTCTGGCGCTCTTACTGGACGACAGGTCACAACTGCAGAACATACGCGATGGTATGAGCACGTGTGCTGGGGGATGTGTTCGAATGTTTCGTACGTACTGGTGCAGTAGGTATACATGTGTGCAGTAGGTTTACATGTGTGCAATAGGTTTACATGTGTGTAGTAGGTTTATATTTGTGTATGGGTAAGCTTTGTATGGATTGGCGTGTGTTTAGTCTGCAACACAATGGGGTACCTATAGCCCTCTCCGTTGCTATTAATAGCAGAGGTGCATCTGTCAGGCTTTCTTGCTAGACCACCAGCCTCAGCTGAACAACAAACGGGATGGTATGTACGAACGTACGTTTACGCTATACCCACGCAAGTGTGCTTACAGGTGTGTCTGTGGTATACTCAGGTGAGTATATAGTGAGTGTGTGTACACGTGTGTTTGTCCACACACGTGTGGTCTGCACGTGCGTGCGTGCATGGTGTCTGCAACCATGTGGGGCCGCCTACAACCATCGCACAACGGTGAACAGAGCCCATCCTGCACTCAGCCGCACTTTCTCCGATTCAACTGTATGCTATCCTGAATGGTATTTGCTCGGATGTATCTATTAAGTCGCTGTGTGTGTAGTATACACCCGTGTCTGTGGTGTGGGCCGTGGCCCTCAGAAATTTGTCCTCAATCCGGCTCATGTGGTCCACGGGGCCTCTGGCCGTCTCTGCGTAGGCCATCTCAGTCACAGGAAGCACGCAGTACATACGGCACCCCTTCCGCAGCAAGCGTACCACCGGCGTGTATATGCACTGACCACACCTTAGGTTACATGCACTGTGACCGCACTGGGCTAGGCTAGTAGCCTGAGCTTTACAATCTTTATATATAACGATACGAGTCCGATATAACTCACACACCTTATATTTATACAACTATATATAACTGCATGATATTTAATTAACCAGATAAGATCTATATAACCCACTCACCTGTATTTTCGTCAATTGCCCTTGTGGCGTGTACAGTCATTCGGGGCGATCCCTTGATACAACAGTGGGTGGATGTGCATGTGGCCATCCGATTGCCCAAGAACCATGGACCGGTCTCAAAATGCGGGACAAAGTTACCGGTAAGACCCACTTTTAAGATGACGGGTGGGTGGGTAACTTAGCAACCATTGCCTCATCTGGCTTGCGGCGTGGCTGTTATTGGGTTTGGCTGTGGCACACTAAGAAATTAATTCTCGCACGCAGTCACAAGGGGTGACCTATTTACGCACTAAATAGGATATGTTCATAGATACAAAAGGAGTGACCTATTTGCGCACTAGTTAGGATCCATTCATAGATCAAAAGGGGTGACCTTTTTGCGCACTAGTTACGATCCGTGCATAGATACAAAAGGGGTGACCTATTTGCGCACTAGTTAGGATCCGTGCATTGATACAGAAGAGGTGACCAATTTGCGCACTAGTTAGGATCCGTGCATATATACAAAAGGGGCGACCTATTTGCGCACTAGTTAGGATCCGTTCATAGATACAAAAGGGGTGACCTATTTACGCACTAGTTAGGATCCGTTCATAGATACAAAAGGGTGACCTGTTTGCGCACTAGTTAGGATCCGTGAATAGATACAAAAAGGGTGACCTATTTGCGCACTAGTTAGGATCCGTGAATAGATACAAAGGAGAGACCTACTCGATGCAGCAGCACTGGCCATATCTGTGCTTGTATATACGGTACACACAGTACGACACCAGTGCAATGGTTTACCTACACTGGTACAACTATAACCACATAATGCTTCATATCCATACGCATACACCTATACACGTACAGGGAGACTACCTGGCTGCGGCCAAGGAAGCTGGGCTGCAGATGTACCTCCCAGACCTGACCATGGCCGGGGGTCAGTTTCTGTACAAGTGCGTGACCACGTGTGTGGGTTTCGGACACCCGTTTGCCCACTGTTATAAGGTACGGCTGTTGTGATGGGTCGATACTCTCGAGACGCAGGCGGTTGGGCTGGTTATTTTGTTAAGCGCTTTGCTTTTATTTGGCTGTCAGGCTTAAACCTTCGGAGTGGGAGGATCATATAGCCAAGTCATGCGGTGATCCGTGCAAACTTAAGTGGTGTTTGTGTGATATACTTGTTAACTCTACAGACGTGGTTAGTATATCGCATGTGTGCTTGTACGCTTGTACACCCGACCCTTTACCTTTACGCATGCTTGCCCATGGTAATGTATGGAGTATGTAGCCTCATAAGTCACGTCAAACGTTGTCCAAGGTAACGTATGTAGTGTGTAGCCTCACAAGTCACGACCAACGGCTGATGCGCGTCTCTCTTCACCTGTGTGCAGGAGTTCAATGTGTGCGTCAAAGAGGAGTACGGCTCCATTGCTCAGCAGGTGGGTAAACTGGCCGAGGCCTTGGGCCACCCCAACCACACACACACGGAGTGTCCGATGAAAGACGACCACTACCCTGTCAATATGCTACGTATGTTGGGGTACTTTGTATGTGTACTGAAGTGGCGTTCATGTGTGTACCTACGTGTTTCTGATTTCAGGGTGATGCAATACTGCGTGGTGTCTTTGTAGTGGGTAGTACGATGTAGGTATATATAGTGTGGTAGTACGGCGTAGGTATATAGTGTGGTAGTACGGTGTAGGTATATATAGTGTGGTAGTACGATGTAGGTATATATACAGTCAATCGGTGGAAAGAGAGCTGGCAGGATGCGTGCACACGCACAAGCATACACACACGTACAGTGCATACATACATACACCCTACCACACACAAAACAAGCACTCATTCCCAATGGAGAAATGCATACAGACTGTGAGCACCAACACAGAGTCATAGGGTTTAGGGGATCACTCATAGTAGGAGTCATAGTAGCTGACCTAGGTTTATAGTACGGGTGTGTGGCTATTCTAGAAATCTGCACGCACCAAAACAACACACATACACACACACACACACACTCACACATACATACACACACACACGCACACACACACACGCACACACTTACACATACATGCACACACACACATACATACACACACACACACATACATACACACACACCAC